ACACACACACACACACAGAGACACACACATACAAACACACACACACTCCGGTCATTCCATCAGCGCGCGTCTCTGCATCATCTGACGGTGTGATGCGTCTCAGCCTCACCTTCGGACTGTCGGGAATCTCGTCTGCTGCTGTCCGGCTCCGAGTCGCTCTGTATAGTCTCCACTTCGCTCCAGAAGGACTCCAGGCACAACCTGTCGGGCTGCTGCGGGGTCTGGAGGTCAGGTGAGTCCGGCTGCGGGTCCCGAGGGTCCGCCCAGGACTCAACATTCATCGCGGTGAGGCTGCAGTCCCTGAAACGCACAGAAAGAGGAAGACGATGACGATGGTCACAAAGAAGCATCAGTCAGGAGGTTCATATCTCTCCAGCATGTGAATGTGATGTCTTCTACAATACACAAAAGCTCAAAACTCAAACTACCTCCTGTTCAGATTTGACAGGTAACTGACCTAATAGACAGCCGTTTGTTTCACTGACTTAGCAGAAGTTGAAATCAAACCAAACCAAATTACAGACGAATTAATCTGACAACACTGCTGGTCTTCCTCAGTATTTCGGTCTTGTTTTCCAGTACTTCTTAAATCAAGATACATTTACTGGAGATGCAAAATGAGAGACGATAAGAAGTGTTTCCGAGAAATGTATCAAGTTTATGAACAAACAGATGCCAATAGACCTTAATCAGTCTTTATAACTCACAACTTTAAACACTATTTCATGGAGTTTTTGTCCAATGTGAGTTATTTTCAGAAAGACATTTAGTGAGCGGAACTATGAGAATGTTGTTAAACAACAGCACGATCCATTAAATGCATTGAGTCATAAAAATCTACTTCATTCAAGGGCAAAACAAGTTTATTTTTCTGACTCCATTAGCAGATATTTCTACTGGAAAACAGAGATACTGAAGGAGAACATCACATTTTTTGCAGCAGTTGTGCAGAGATATGATTAAAACCACCGGTTACACTCTCAGTGTGAAGCAGAGCATATTTCAGCTCAGAATGAGCATATTCCCAGTAAACCATGTTCTCAATCTGAGAGGTGGTTTAGTCAGGACTTTACCTGGTTTTGGTTTGGGTTAGTCTGGTTGAGTGTTGGTGAAGGAAGTGCCTCAGCTTTAGATCGAACCGAACACGCCACATTCTCCTCACGGGGTTTTATGTCCATACAGTCCATCCTCACTTACAGTGCTGCTGCTCATTTAATGCAGATGAACAATAATATTCCTCCTCTGTTTGAATATTGACATGATTCCGCTGCTCGTCACATCTCTTTCCCTAATTCTCTGATAGATCTGCTGGTTTCTATGCTCCACTTTTCCAGTTCTGAGTGTAAAAATGTCCATCAAACAGAAGATGCACATGGATACGTCTTCAGATCACTTTTTCTCATCTGCTGCTCACTGCTCTGCTGCAGTACTTGTATCTGAGTGTGTGTGTGTGTGTGTGGGTACGTGTGTGTGTGAGTGAGTGTGAGTGAGTGTGTGTGTGAGTGTGAGTGAGTGAGTGTGTGTGAGTGTGAGTGAGTGAGTGTGTGTTGCGTGCGTGTGAGTGTGTAAGTGTGTGTATGCCTGGGGGAAAAACTAGCAACACCACATCACTAACACATGACCCTGCCTATCTAGGGCACACCCTGCTGCTCATTAACACACACTACATGCCATTCATAACCTGACACATAAACAAAACCATCTGAGAAACCTCTAACCTACATGTGCCTCGTCAAAACAAAGGCCTTAATAATAAAGATGATCGGCAGGTCAAACACCTCACGGCTTTCAGGGTCACGCCGGGTTTCAGACAGGCGTCCGATCAAGCAGGTTCTTCACTTTCTTTCACTCTTGCTTAAGCAGTCCTTTTCAGCTGTCAAGGGCACGGTTTCTCCAAACACACTGATTTAACAGCATTTATTTGCCAAGAACCAGTTGTGATTTCTAATGCTTAACACTTTTTACATCATTTCAATTCTAAAGATTTCCAAAGATTTAAATCAGTGGAAATCTGTTAATTGAAATGATGTAAAAGCGTTAGAGCTGAGAACACTACTTGAAAAACATCATCAAGTTAGCCAAAATATGCCATCAACAGACACAGATGTGTAGACATTTCTGAATGAAACCTTCTGTGGCTTTTTCTGCAGATGGGAAACATACTGAACTCTCTGATGCACAATCTAAAACTGATGCCGTTTTTACCATTGCAATGCAACAATCAAAACCAGTCATAAGGGTCAATTTATTTAAATTGAGATTTATGCATCAGCTGAAAGCTGAAAGCTAAGCTTTCCATTGATGTATGGTTTGTTAGGATAGCACAATATTTGGCCGAGATACAACTATTTGAAAATCTGGAATCTGAGGGTGCAAAAAAATCTAAATATTGAAAAAATCATCTTTAAAGTTGTTCAGATGAAGTACTTAGCAATGCATATTACTAATCAAACATTAAGTTTTGATATATTTACGGTAGGACATTTACAAAATATCTTCATTGAACATGATATTTACTTAATATCCTAATGATTTTTGGCATAAAAGAGAAATGTATAATTGTGACCCATACAATGTATTGTTGGCTATTGCTACAAATATCCCCCAGCGACTTAACACTGCTTTTGTGCTGCAGGCTCACATATGTAATATTTACTATTTAAAAAAAAAATTTGCCACAAAACTGTACAGTGCCAAAAATACACTTTCTGTTATGCATAAACACATACAGCATTAGTGTAGCTCAAACAGTAGATCACGGCGCTGCTGCGCTGGCAACACCAGGGTCATGGGTTCGATTCCCAGGGAAAGCAAGACTTTGAATGCAGTGTGTGTCGCTTCGGATAAAAAGTGTCTGGAAATGCATGAAAGTAAATGTTAAGCTGAAATCCTGATGAACAAAAGCACAGACACACGTGTGTTTAGATGTCAATCTGCTCTCCTCTCTGACAGTGTTTACAGATGTATTCGAACCCAGATCTCACAAAGTTCTGCTCATCTTCTTCATATTTTCGCAGATATTCTTGAGTCTCTAATGAATAGCGAGGTGGACACAGGTCTGTCATCACTCATTAAATCTGTCAACTAATGCTAACAAGAAGCTGAATGACGCAGATTCACATTTCATTGTTCTGTTCAATCTCAGCTGCTAGTTCTCTCTCCATTCAAACTTCATGCATCACAATAAGGTGACTTTTACAGAGCGAGCAAACAAAAGCACAGAATGAATGCTAAAGGTTGCACTACCATTGTATTCAAACCGCTTCAAACAATTAAACTACAATCTTCTAAAACTATCATATAGCTACTTCATGCATTACAGACATTATGTTCTTAATGAGATCATTTACAGTCACAGCAACAAAAACCACCATCTGAACTAGTCACTAGAAACTAGAAAGTCCCACTGAATAAACCCACAGCACTTCACTAAATATCTCAGTTCAGTGAAGACAAAAGAATCAGTGAATCAACTCGTGAATTCATCTGAACCAATAGATTCACTAAAATGATTCAGTCTGCAGAGATTATGTGGTTTTGCACAGTGCTGGGTTTGATTATCTTAACATTTAAAGATGTTTAAGAAAAGGCTTTTGATTAATATTTTATTATTGCAACATGACAAAAAGACACAAAATAGCTCTCTGTAACTGGAACGCACAGGTTGCAAGCATACGAGTCATGCAGCGTTCAATCCACAGTCTTACATCATTTATTTTGCGTTTAACTTATTTCCAAAACCAATTTGGAGATTCGCTTCAGCCTCTCGTTGCATGCTCAGATGTTAGTAACTTTAAGAACGGTATGATAATCAGCTTAACTAGACTGACGTTCAGTTAGGGCTTTTTCTGATGAGTGTCATGCGCAACACATTTGACAGAAGATCAGCACAATCTCTCTGTGTGTGCGTGAGAGTGCGTGTGTGTGAGTGAGAGAGTGTGTGTGTGTGTGAGTGTGTGAGTGAGTGTGTGTGTGTGTGTGTGAGAGAATGGGTCACACTCTCTCACACACACACACGCACACACACACAGACACACACACACACTCTCTCACACGCACACACACACACACACACACACTCTCTCTCTCACACACACACACTCACACACTCACTCACACACACGCACTCTCACACACACACACACACGCACACACACACAGACACACACACACACTCTCTCACACGCACACACACACACACACACACACTCTCTCTCTCACACACACACACTCACACACTCACTCACACACACGCACTCTCACACACACACACACACGCACACACACACAGACACACACACACACTCTCTCACACGCACACACACACACACACACACACTCTCTCTCTCACACACACACACTCACACACTCACTCACACACACGCACTCTCACACACACACACACACGCACACACACACAGACACACACACACACTCTCTCACACGCACACACACACACACACACACACTCTCTCTCTCACACACACACACTCACACACTCACTCACACACACGCACTCTCACACACACACACACACGCACACACACACACACACACACACACACACAGAGAGATTGTGCTGATCTTCTGTCTCATCCGTCATCTTGATCTCTGAGATCACATCAGGCACCTAAAATGATCCAGACATGACAGACTGACACACATCATGACGACATGAACACAAACCTCACCGGTCACTGTTCCCTGACCAGCAGGACAAAGCGGGATGATCCAGAGACACTCACAGGACACTCTCACACACACCTGATATCCGAGATACTACACTTTTATACCTCATTCAGAAATTGATAGTAAGCTTCACAAATAATCACAAAAAATGGCAAGTAACATTGAATTAAATGTGAACATTTGTAATTGACTGTAACAGTGTTTTCTTAACACTATCTTTCACGCTCAGAAAAAGGTACAAAAGCTGTCACTGGGAAAGCATCCTTTCAACAGGAACTATTACCTACTATTTAGATACTAATATGTATCATTTTTACAGTGTATGATCCTACAAGAAAACATTATTACACTGAATATTTCTGTACGGCTTTCTCACTCTCATTGAACTATCTGTTTAGGAATAATCACCAAAATGCATGAGCTTGTGATGAAACTATAGAAATCAATGAGATTAAAAGGAAAGCAAACAGAGATCTGACCAGACACACAGTGATACATTTGTGTCCGTTTCTGTTTCTTCAAAGGAATTTTAGGAGCAGCAACTGCATTAAATGTCGCGAGGGATGAAAGAGAACCCCGCGAGGCATCATCAGCAGAGCTGCAGCAGTCAGACTCGCATGCATCGCTGCATCATGCAGATTTTCATATTTATTGTCTGCAGCCGGACAAAGACGATGTTGTATTGATAGCGCGCGCTTCGGCGGCACACACGCGCCCATAGCAACAGGTCTCCTGCCCATAGCAACCGCCAGTATTACAAATATATGACATTTATGTGGCAGAAATAGTGACTGATCCCTGGTGTAAATGAATGATTTAATTAGCTTGCATGCCGCTGTGTGAACCAGATGTACATGAGGCGGACAGTAAGCAGGTAAAACGGTTGGGATCTGACCTGAGTCCAGCTCTCCGCGCGTGCGGTGTCCTCTGATGCTTCGGTAGCGCGGATGCTGCGGAGACACAAAAGCTGGAGCCGCTATTGTCTGACAGACAGATGCTGCCGAGGCCCTCATCATCACGTGACGTCACGGCGAGCGCGTGCGCCTGTGTGTTTGAGTGTGTGTGTGAGAGTGAGGGAGTGTGTGTGTGTGTGTGTGTGAGTGAGGGAGTGTG